AGTTCCAGGCTGAGGCTGATGGTGAGGTGGAAGTTGTTGAAACTCTGATGAAATGTCTTGAGTGAGTCTTCTCCATTTTGAAGATGTCATCAATGTACCTCAGGTAGAGAAGTGGTTTTTGGGTACAGGAGTTAAGGAAGTGTTGTTCTAGGTCAGCCATGAAGATATTGGATATTGTGGTGCCATGCGCATGCCCATGTCGGTGCCATTAACTTGAAGGTATATGTTGTTACCAAAAGTGAAGTAATTGTGTGTGAGAACAAACTGGCAGACCTTGGTGGCTAGGTCTGATTAATTCCCATCTGGAATTTTTGGGAGAATGATTGCAGGCAGGTAATACCTGAAACAGTCTTCCTCAACTTGGTGCCCTCCTGATATGTTGGACTACTACTTTTACCATCCTGTCAACAGGCATGCTGGCTGAGGGTGATGGGAGCAATCTGATGCCCTGAGGGCATCAGATTGTGGCAGGCTGCCAGCATGTGGCTTTGCATTCCACCATTTCAGTTAGTGCTGTTTCCTTTAAATCACATTTAACCTATAGTAATACTGATTCCAAAGGCTATAACTTTTGTTTCACACCAGCTGCACACTTAGCTGTTCTCTACTTTCCTCCACCCGTTGATTACCAAGAGTTCCTCTTTATACATAATGTCTTCCTTCACACCCATCTTTCTAGGTGTTTCTTTCAGTGAAGCAAGAGCATTTTGTTTTGTTAAATGAAAGCCCAACCCTGAAGAAAACATCGTTGGTACGCAGAAGCAGAACTCTAAAAAGAAAAAAATGTTTTAGAACCAGCCATGAGAAAGATAGTATACACCCTCCCTTTCTCCCTTCCCCAGCCAGTAAATGGCTATGACAGTGCTTGCAAGGCTTGGAAACTGCCTTGAGGCAAGGTGTTTGGATATTGTACAAGGAGAGATAAGGAGGTTGTGAGTAGCTCCCTGCACAACATCCCAACAAAGGCATGCACGTGCCTAAGCCCATGTTAGGCATGTGTATGTCACCAACAGGATTCCAGCTGTATGTTTAACGTTGAGATCAAAATTTGATTTTAAACCATAATTTTCTTAAGGAAATCATTCTAGGATGGGGATGAGAGTGCTGTTGTTACTGTTTCCCCCCCACTCCACCCCACCCCTCACTGTGATCTTCTTTCTAAAAGAACAGGGTACCTATAACAACTCCTGTGGCACAGTAAGTCAAAAACCTGCAGATTTTCCTTGCAAGAAGATACGGTGACCTATAGCCCTTAAAGCATCACAAATTCAGTCTCTGCTGCCATGCAGTTTGCAGAGATAGACTGAAGGCTTTTTCAACGAAAAAAAAAAAATGAGACAGACATAAACTAGACTCTATAGATGAACTTAAGGGGGCTGCAGACAGGTGGCTCTAGGCCACCCCTCATAGCCGCAGATCGGGGCCACAGCTACCCACGCCACAGCCCCAATCCTTCCTTTTGCTACCCCTGAAAGAGCGGCAAAATGCCACTCCTTTCAGGGGTGGCAAAAGGGCGCTCTAAGAGCCGGTGTGTGGCTCTTTAGTGCCCCGCTCCTTCTGGCACAGCACGTAAAAATGCTGTGCCAGGAGGATGTCCTGACACCACGCGCCATGCGTAATGGCGCACGGTGTCAGGACATTGTTGGGCTTGGGTTGGGGCAGCCGGCATGCGGCTGCCCCTCCCCATCTCTGCCTCCAGGCCGGCCCTTTGGGCTGGTCTGCAGAAGCCCTAAATTTCTTGAGATATATTGTTCTTATCCCACTTCATTTAGTTGTCTTTTTAAAATTGCTATCCTTTCATTTAATGAAGGACTTTGAAATTCTAGCCAGAATGTTAGAAAATTATTTTTGGGACTGCAATTCCCAAAAGTCTCCAGCAAATGTGTATTGTAGCATTATATCAAAATATTATCTATCTATCTATCTATCTAGAAAAGAAAAGCTTTTAATTGAAAACATTTGGCATCTTTCTATCATATTCTTTGTTTAATCCATTCTGAACTATGTGTGAAATGCCCAGCAGCTATGGGGACAAATCTAGAAGTGGTGGTGATGGGGGCCGACAACAAATACATTTGATGATGGCTTGGAAATATAGGGTCTATTAGCACAAGCAGTAGCTACATTATTAAGTAGAAAATAACAAGACTATCTTTAGTCACATGCTAGAGGATATTTTGGAAAGTTTATTTTCTTGTATGTGGTCTTATTGTTGTTAATTACCCTCAAGTTGACCTCAGCTCCTGGTGACCTTGTAGATGACATATCAACAGGGTCCTCTTATCCTCAACCCTTCTGCTCAGCTCCTGAAGGTTCAAGCCCATGACCTCCCTGATTGAATCTATGGTGTGCAGTCTTCCTCTCTTTCTGCTGCCTTCTACCTTTCCTAGCATTATTGCCTTTTCTAATGAGTCATTTTTTCTCATGATGTGGCCAAAGTACAACAGCCTCTATGTAGTCATCCTGGCTTCTAGGGAGAATTCAGAACTTATTTGTCCCAGGACCCATTTGTTTGTCTTTTTAGCTGTCCATGGAATCCTCAGTACTTTTTTTCAACACCACATCTCAAATGAGAGGAGACCCATTGAATCAATAGGAACCTGGTAAATCAAAACTTAAGTGAAACCAGTCTACTCTAGTTGGAACTAACAGGTGCAGTCAGAACAGAGTTTGGAAAAGTTGCTGATCCAAGTCCTTATCTTAAATAGAGGAAGTTTGTGTATGCTGGTAATCTAAGCCTTACTGTCTGAGAAATGGAGAGATTTGTAATTAAAGTGACATATTATCTCAAGAAGTACAAGTCCCAGAGTTCTTGTGCAGAGGCAGGATGTAGTGATAGCTGGTGGAAGGGATGAAGTGCCATAAGGTGAATTGACCTCATGGACAGTGGCTACAAGAGATATACCAGACCAAAACAGATGTAAATGTGTACACAAAAAAAAAAAAACAAAAAAAAAATACACACACACACTTACCTCATAGCTAACAGGTTTGTCTATAAGTACAAAATAGAAAGCCAGAAATAAGAGACAATTACACAAAGGGACATAAAAGCCACCTTACTATTTTATCTATTGTGTATAAACTTTCAAGACAAGTTATTCGGGGGGGGGGGGATAATTCATTCTTTTGGGAAGAGAAAAGTCAGGAGAATAATTTTTAAGTAAATAGGTTTATTTATAAAAGATCACAGCCACATTTGTTCATTATTTTTTTAAAAAAATGCAAGGAAGATTTTGAAGGAAAAAACAAACAACACCCAGTACATTATAGATTAAGACATCTACTGGAAACAATAAAAAGTTACACCTCTTACTAACAAAAAGCTACCTGCATAAATATTTGTATATGTAGAGTCAGTTTTGTCCTTCTGATTGCATTCAGATAAATTTTCCTGTTTTGATATCTTCCTAAAACATAACACCACAATCCCATAGATGTCATTGTGTCTTCCTTCTAAGTGAATGTGCTTAGAATTGCAGTCACAGATTTCTTATACTTTTGCTGGAGTTGAAAGCTTACATAGCAATGTATACCTTCTGTGGTAAATAGCCATCAATATTATCAAATATCTATCTATCACTACCTATTTAATCTTTCATCACATGCATTGCAAATTGCAATCATTAAGAGTTTCCCTTGGGCTTATTTCACATTCCTGTGCTCTCATTTATGCCAAATGCTGAAAGCTGTATATTTATCTTGGTAACTTGATTTCGATATTTTAAATCTGTGTAATTCTATTATGTTAGCAAAAGCTGATTCATACATATTGACTCACATTGTCATGCTAAATCCTTTGGGATCACCTCTGCTTTCAGTCAGCTTGCTCAGCTATATTTTGATCTCAGATCTCAACAAGAAGTTCAGCTTGGACTCTTGAGACATCATGATATTTGTGTCAACAATATCTTTTAAAACAGCAGGGGTTTTTTGCTAATTGTTGCTAGATTTTTTAACTGTTGCTAAATTGTGTTGTCTGTTTACCTTTGTCTGTCAATTTAATGTGTCTGAAGACAAATATGACTCCCCTCTTTCTCAACTTTTAAACCTATATCTGAAACAGATAGACATGTTAGTTTGTTTTAGCATAAAATGAGATAAAGGAATCCAGTAATAACAACGAAGAAGAAATTTTCATTGATAGTGAGCCTCTCCAGATGAGGGGAAAAAAATCTCTGAAGGTCCCAGGTTTTGTTCCTCTACAAACTGATTTTATTTTGGAGATCTACATGACATTTTCTTCATCCTGGGAACTCCCAGCACCAAGGACTTTTATTCCTACTTCCCAGGTCAGTTTTACAAAATGATGGATACTCGGCTATTTATATTAGCCTGGGACTAGCTAAGATGGTTGCCACTAGTAAACATAGCTATTGTTTCCAGGATATACATTCAACAGAGATCAAGGGAGGGAAAGAGGAATGTTTCAAGCAAGGGAAAGAAATGTTTTCACAAAAATAAAATGATCCTGATGTTTAATGTTTAATTAGTGGATATTGCTAAAGTGCTTTAGCACTTTGGCTATGACTCTTGATAATAATAAACAGGGCTCAATGGAAATTATCAAAATTCAGTTTCTAAAATGTTGCTTGAATTTAGATGTGACTTTTGATGGGGGGTGGGGGGAAGGTGGAGGTGGAAGAACACAAGGGAGGAGAGAGGTTTGCAGACCTGGGAATATACAGGCAAAATCAAAACAAGAAAACAACCTAGAAACTTTCAGTATTTCCAGAGACTTCCCCCTCTTCCAGTTGGACCATCTGTCCACAAAAGCTTATGCTAGCAATTTCTTCTTCCCAGTTAGTCTCTAGGATTTCTTATTTCTTCCAAAACCTTTCAAAATACATTATAATGTATAATTGCATTAGGCCGTGCTCTCACTGAAACAAACCAGTTTTTGAAAACCGAGAGAGCTACATTCTGAAGTTATGAGTATGCTATCTATGGCTAAATCCACACCTGCAAAATAATTCAGCTCTAGTGTGCAGCGTCTGTGAGCCAGTGTAGTGTAGTGGTTTGAGTGCTGGACTATGACTCTGGAGATGAGGGTTCGAATCCACTGGTCACTGGGTGTCCTTGGGCAAGTCACATGCTCTTGACTTCAAAGGATGGCAATGGCAAACTCCCTCTGAAAAAACATCCCTAGGAAAATTAAACATCTACTCAGTCAGGTTAGCCAATAACATTTAAAGTTCCTTTATTCTTCCCACTAGATTAGCAAGACTGGAAAAAAAACCCCTACAGAATGAAAGAACTAGTTTGTAGATCTATCCTCCCCAATCCAGCAAAAATTACATCTCAATCCCCCCCCTCCCCAATGTTTCTTTAAGGCTATTTCCTGCTGCGTCCAAAGGAATTTATTTTCCAATAAAGCTATAATCTTCTGCCATCGTACTTGGGAGTAAATTCCACTGTATGCAGTCAGACTTACTTTTGTGTAGAAACATGTAAAATTGATAAAACCATAAATTATACACTTCTGCATTGCCTTATGACAGAGGCTTCCATCGCAAACCTTTGAAGTTCTGAGATTTTCCTGTTGCTTATGATGGACAAACTGGATTTTAACTTTCTCTCTTTTTATACTCCCTTTCTACCATCACTGGAGGTTATGAAGGAGGAGAGTCTTCAGCCTCCATCTACACCCCATTTGAATGTCCCAAGGCTCACATGGCTTCTGAAATGGTGGCATGTCTTCTGACATTCGAGTACACTGAACAAAATAAATAAATAAATAAAATGGTATGATTGCTGACTGGATTCTGTTGCAGTGCTTGGATGGGGAAAGAAGACTGAAAGGAGACCAGATAGTGCCCCTCAACTTCTGATCTCTCCCCCATTTATCATGTTCCTCCCTAGCCAATGCCACTGATTCTCTTTTGTTTTGTTCACCACTCCACCACTGCTCCTTTTTTTCTTCAGCTCTTTGTGGACTTTCCTGGGGCTACAGCTGATGAAGCAGATGTTTATCAACAACAAAAAATTGTGGCACCACACCTGCCAGATGAGCATGCCAAAGCAATCCCTATCCTCCACCCTCCCCTTGATTCCACCCTGATCTAGAGCACAGGGCACATGCTTAAAAAACCCAAACCAAACATTTTTTCCAAAAATTGCAGAGTAAAAGGGCTTTTTAAAATATCATTTTAAAGCCTTCAAGTGTCAAAAAAGTAATTTCAATACAAATCGGAAGCAACACTGTGTAATCTAAAAGAATTGAGCTCAAGGTTGGTACAATTATTTTGCATGGGGTTTGTGTGGATTCAGTCCATGTAGGATTTGAACTAGAAAACTGTAGTTCGTGGAAGCTCAGGTGTCCAGCCTTGCTTGAAGATTTGTTTGCGCCCTATGGGGAAGTGCCAAACCATGGCAAGTACTCCTTCTCCCTGGGCAGTGTGCAAAGAAGAGGTCTGTCCAGTTCCATTGGCTTCCTAAGGGAGGAAGGGAAATTAGTCAATCAGATTGTCAGGCCTGATCAGGGGAGTGTCCTTGTCTGATCCACAGACTATGTGTGTGTGTGTGTGTGTGTGTGTGTGTAAAACCTCTCCTCCAGTGTGCAACCTTATTTGGATCATGGACAGCTTGGAGGATGGAATGTAGAAGAGGCAGTGGCACAGACAACAGAAGAATGACAAAGACAGCAAGGAATTTGGTGACAGAGAAGCTCATCCCAATAGGCAACATACTTCAGGAAGCAGTAACGTGTATTCCTCCATCTATGCTTCAGAAATAGTCATACAACAATTGTGTTAACTGAGGTCAGCTAGCAACTTTTTTATGAACTGAAAGATTCCCCCACTTGACAGTGCTCAGAGGTAGGCAACCTTTCCCCTTTAAGGGCCGAGGGACTTCAGCTCCCCGAATTCCAGGAGCTATTGGCCAACATGGCTGAGGCTTCTGGGAGCTGAAGTCCCTTGGCCTTTAAAGGGGAAAGGTTGCCTACCCCTGATAGGCACTTGGCCTATGTTCTCGGGAGTGCTTCATTGGGAACTGGACAAGAGCTTGGAAGCCTGCAAACCATAAACACTCCTGATCCAGAACAGAGTGCCAGATAAAGCATCTCATAAGGAGAGAGCACTGACTCCAAGGCCAGAACAGCACGGATTCATCTCCATCAGTAGCAGACTCCCCTCTCCTTTCTGGTTTCTCTCTCATTATCTTAGGCAGTGGTAACCATTTCTTGCAATCACAGGGACTAGCAGCCTTTGTGAGGCAGCTGCCCCTCTTCAATTGGTGGCAATAGAAGGAAGGAACGGCCAGCACTGCCATGGGGTCTCCTGCCTCTCCACTCTGGAAACAGCCTATCTACCCAGAGCCAGCAGGCACCTGTTCCTTCTCTCCTACTGGCAACCTGGGATTGGCTCGGGAAGTGCCTAAAGTTGTCTGTATGATATCATAGACTTCCAGTATAAAATGTTTAATTTATTTTTTATTTTTTATTTATTTCATTTATATGTACCCTTTTTCCCAGAGTGAGACCCACCCAAGGAGGTTTCCAGAAATAGTAAATTAAAAACATTTACAATAAAATTTAAACAATTAAAATCACCTCATAAAACACATTAAAATAATGTTGAAAAGATAAATAAAACATTCCCAATACACAGCCCCCTGTTATACATTAAAAGTGTGCTTTGTATATATTTGTTTAGGTATGCACTGTAGTGAGTCAGTGTGACACTGTGTGAGAGACAGGTTTGAGTGTTGGACTGCAACTCTGGAGAACAGTGTTTGATTCCTTGCTCAGCCATGGAAACCCATTGGGTGACTTCAGGTGAGTAGTCACACACTCCTAGCCCCAGAAAACCCCATGACTGCCAAAGCTGCCTTTGGGACTCTGTGGGTTCATTGCTCAGACACTGCTGACCTGCTAGAATGGTACAGCTGGCACAGCGATGCTAATATGGAAAAACCTGATGGAAAAGGCCAGAAAGTACATCAGCAAAGCTAATCAGGATGACTTTGTGGTCATAGTAGGTGGCCACCTGATTCAACACCATGGCATATTCCTACATTTGAGGCAGTGTTCTGAGCCCAAGGGATTCACTTGGGAGTATGGTTGTTGCTGTAGTAGTTTTGCCCAGCTGGCATGAAGCTGTGGTTGTTTTGATATGGAGCAGGATTCAGGGGATGGGGGAATGAGATTTGTTTGTCTGTCCTCCCCAGTTTGCGGGTCTCCTTAATGTATGTTAGGATGAAGGCATCTAGGAACAAGTCCAGTTTGGGGCTACAGGCCCTTCCTCCCCCTGGGTGATGGGTATTTGTGGTTTTCATCCATGTGAATCCCACTTCTGCAACTCCATGGCCCCAACCAGCAATTGTACTGGGGAACTGGTTTTTCATCCGGTGATAGACAGGTTGTTCAATGCTTTGATCTACCCCATGATAGGTCAAGACTTTACGGCTATACCAAGAAAGTTTAATTTTTAGCCATATGTTATCTATGTGGCTTTACTGCCCACAGTCTGCTACAAAAGTTGGTTTTGTGGTCATAATGTGGAAGAACTGCTCTGCAGAGGAGTGGGGTAAAAATAAAATTTTATTATTATTATATTATATAGAATAACAGCTAGTGGAGGAGGTTAAAAACAAATGCTAGAATGGATGTGTTTCACTCCCAAATCCAGTACTCTCCAGCCTGGAATGACTGTGTCATGGTGTCCTGCTGAAGTACTCACGTTTATATTCTTTTACTCCTGAAGATGGTGTAAACCAAGATGTCTTGAGCATGTTGTGCTTTCTATTAAAGTGTCCTGAATGTCTCAGCACCTTTCCCTTCCCTCCTCATTTCTTGAAACCATTATACAGTATATCATTAAGACACAAGTCTTGCCTGAAACACTATTCACTTAATTTTCACATAATAGAAGGTTGCATAGATTAAGCAAGCGATTCTTCTTAAACAATGATGTGCTGAATGTTTGATCATTTCAGTTTTGAAGCAACAGTAATGTATTTGAGGAAGTGGAAATATTTCCTTTTAAAAAACCCACTGAACAACAACTGCAGTTGCTCTAAAAAAAGGTCTCCCTTTCCTCTCAAATTTATAGGAATTAGAACTTTTCTCTTTTTTCCTAGACTGATTCCAGCCAATCAGAGATCACATAATTAACTTTTTGATGTCACCATGACAGTTAGAGAAACTTATGCAGAGAAACTTATCCATTTTCAAACAAACCCTTTCAGAAATGTGATTTTTTTTTTTTTTTGGAAGCTGTTAGAAATTTTTGTTAAAGCAACGCCCACTTTTGGCTCAGCCCTGTGAAGCAATGTCTCTGCCAAAAAGGTTGTGGGAATAATATGGTGCAATTATAGTCAAAGAGAGTCCTCAGTTTGGGTGTTAACATGTGCTCCACCCTGGAATTCTATGTCATTACTTGTCTTGCACTTGTGTTTTAGAACTCAGGGTCTCAGCAAAGTTGTGTTACATTATGCTGTCTCCAGTTTATTATATAACAGGTGATGCCTAGTATTTTAAAAGTCAGCTTGATTGCATGGTTTACTATAATGTCAGAATGATAGAATGATACAATCGTAGAGCTGGAAAAGACCTCAAGTGCCATCCAGTGACAAAAAGCAAATTAAATTAATGGAGCAGGTCACAGGGCAGTTGCTGCACCTCAGTCACATATCAGCAATTGCCATTTTGAATTCTGAGAACAACACCATATTTAGAAACAGAAGGCCATAGGGCAGAGTTTGAAAGAGTTCGTTTTTGGGGTTTCTTTCTACAGTGAGAACAAAGCATGGGTGTGGAGAAGACAAATAGTCACAAAAGGGAAATTCCATGATCTTGGCATCCAAAGACTATTCCCCCTCCCCCCACCAGCTCAGTGACAATAGCAAAAACCAAACCTTTATTCATAGGGATACTTTTCATAGGAGGCTTTTGTCCCATTATCATCATCATCGTCGTCATCATCTCATTCACTGGATGTTAGGGAGGAGGTTCAGACTTTTGCTGTTCTCTCCTTGCAACTCTCCATTATTTTCCCACCATTTCTTCCCTCTTTTTTTCTTACAATGCAAAATCTATTAAGGAGAAAATGACAGAACAGCAGAACA